CCAGGCGGAAAGGCAGTGATGTCCTCTTTGTAGAGTGAACAGTCTGTAAAAGGATTTCAATTGCATTTTGTTCTTTACATCTTCTACATTTATTTCATATATGGCCATTTCATATACTCAGAATGAATCAGCATGTCACATCGTGATTCTTCTGAAGAGGATATTGTTGGATATTAAGATAATATAGTGAGTAATGGGTAGAACAGTGACACATGTGCTTAGAAATTGGGCTTAGGAGCTAAAATTTGAAATGACATTCAGCTGAAAATGTCCATGAATTCTAGATCACAAAATACAGATATGAAAATTATGGCTGATAATCATGACACTACCTAGTATATACATTCAGACCTCTGTTCATATGTTCTGCTTTTGTGGACTCACTCAACCTCAGATAGAATACAATTTAAATAAAAAAATTGCGCTTTTTCCAAACATGTACAGACTTTTCTTTACATGAAGACCACTGTGTAGTCACATATTCATGTTTAAAATTTATCAAAATATGCAGATTTTTAACTAAGTAAGATTGGGATTATAAGATGAAAGAGAGATGAAATACCTATTGTAGGAGACAAGGTTTTGGAGTGATCCCTAACCTGAATTCAAGTGGTTGCTATGGAGACAAAAAAGAGAAAAGGCAGTAGCTAAACCTCTTGCAGGGAAAGAAATGGAACAATTGCATATAACATATAACAAGTAAAAGATTAAAAAACATTTTCTCTCATTACATAAGCAAACTCAGTGAAAACATGAGCAATGTGAGGATCATTCTGGCCAGAATATGACAGTATTGTATGTAGTTAAGAGACAGGTGGATTGAGGCTCTGGAGTAAATAATTGCTCTCTTTCTCTACTGCTGTAGGAAAGAGTAAAATGAATTAGATTTCTTATGCCTTATTTCTGTACTCTCCTGAAATTGCTTCATCATCTGACCTTTCCTCCAATCCTTAGCAGTTTATGAATAGGACCATTTAAAGCTTCCCTTTTTTAACAGCTGATTTTCTCTTATGCTGTAGGGAATTGTTTGTAGATTCATATTGATAGGAACTTTGTAAATCTAGTTTTAGGGTTTATATCTCTCAGTTCCAAGTTATTCCTCATTGTAATGCAAATTTTATTTGCTTTGTTTAGTTTTCTGTCTTTGATTATATTACAGTTGAGTTTCATAAGAAGAAGGTATAAGAAAAAACAACAAATTTCATCAGTAACACAAGCATGATAAATGATTTAACTGAATAGGATATCTAAGGCATAGGGTCTTAGTCACCAAGTCCTTCTTTTTATTATTATTTTTTAATATGTATAAATATATTGCCTGCATGGATATAAGTGCACTCATGTCCTACAATGCCCATGGAGGTGAGTAGGGGGTGTTGGATCCCCTGCAACTGGAGTTATGGATGGCTGTTATCTGTCAAGTGGGTGTTGGGAACCAACCCGAGTCCTCTGCAAGAGCGGCCAGTGTTCTTAACAGCTGAGCCATTTCCCCAGCTCTGTCACCAAGTCTCTTTAAAAAGGAAATTGGTTTCATCCAGACTTGGTTATAATGAGATTTATGAACACTTTTCAATTTCTGCTTAGGTAGACACTGATGAATAAATGATCTCTTTGTAGGAAGGCTGTTCTGGTTGACGTCCTATGTTGTTGAAATAGAGATAGTTGTGGTTTGGTGATGGTGGAGTATCCATTGACAAGGCAAAGGAGTGGAATTTCATCACATGAATACAAGCTATTACAAGGACAAGAAGTATTGTATCTATCCTCAATAGTGCTCAAGGCCATCACCAGCAAAATCCAATCAATGAGTCACTAGAGTTGTTTTCAAATGGAGTCATTTCAGCATATGTGTTGAAATTGGTTCCATGTCAGCTGCCATGTTATGTAATTTCATTTAACATTGTGCTTGTTAGTTTTTATTGTCAACTTGGTAAAACATAGGCACCTGGGAAGGGGGAACTTTAATTGAAGAATTTCCCAGATCAGATTGGCCTGTGGGCCAATGAGAGACTGTCTTGACTGATGATTGATGTGGAAGGGCCCAGCCCACTGTGAGTAGCACAATCCCTAGGCAGATAGGTCAGGGCTGTATACAAAAGCCAAGCATGAGGCAGAAAGCAAGTCAGGGAGCAAGCCAGTAAGCAGCATTCCTCCAAGGATTCTGCTTGAGTTCCTGTCCTGACATCCCTCAGCGATGGATTATGACCTGGAAGTATTAGCCCAATAAACCCTGTCCTCCCCTAAGCCGCTTCTCGACATTGTGTTTATCATAGCAATGGGGAAGAAAATAGAACAAACCTTAATCTGTAAATGCGAAATATTCATGTTCTCCCAGTGTCAGACTAATCGTTCCGAAGTTACCAATAGTTCTAAACAATCAACAAATTAATTATATATTTTTTGACACCTTAAATTAAGAAATATATAATCTTCCCTATTTCCTGGTATTAAGTTTATCTTTAGTTAAATGAAGTTCCAAAGATTTACAGTGTGTATCGAAGGCCTTGGTAGACTTGCATATTTTGTTTTCATTTTCTTTTTATTATGGATGCCTTAGAAGCCAAATGAATCACATATCTACCTTTTCAGAACTGGCATTTTATAATCTATATTTAATTAATGTAGGGATGATGTTGCTCCACTGGCTGTATCATCTATCTGAATCATTAGATATTTCTGCCTGCTTTGAGAGAGCAGGTCTTGAACTAATGACTCATATATCTTATTATCTACTTTAGTTGTAGATATCATCCAATGAGCTGTGTATTCACATTAAGCACTGCACTGGTTGCATATTATAAAAGACTTGCAAACCCCTTAATTTTTCCCATGCTTCCCTTTCATGCTGTTCCTTGATTCTGAGTGTAAATAGATACAATAACCACCCAAACATATTGATTACTTCTGTACAAATGTGTACTGAACTTTAGTTCTAGGGTACGAAACTAAACAGGTGATTTTAATTTGAAGATTTGGGTATATAACAACTTTATTAACTCT